CAAGGGGACCCAATTCTTGCATTCTGTGAAAACGGGTAAGGTTGACTGTAACGTAATAATCTTTATCTTAGTTATCGTTCCTTTTGCCCGAGCAACGCCGGGCCCAGGTGGGCCCGGCGTTGCTCGGGCAAAAGGAATAATAATAATCGACATTAAAAGTATAATAATAATCGACATTAAAATGTTTATATTATTGTAATAAATAGAAAGAATTAATAGTCGAAAGAGACAAAACGAAAACTTTAATTTTAATGACGAAAATTAGCGAGAAAATAGATAGAATATTCAACGCAGAGAGAGAGACAGCAAAAGCTACCAGTCAGATCTTAACTACTGTATTAACAAAAAGAGATGTGCTTCTCTTCAAGATTTAAATGACCATACAAAGCTTTGTTGATTTTAAAATCAACAAAGCTTTGTATGGTCATTTAAATCTTAGCCACATATTTGTGTAACGTAATTGGAAAGTTCTTATTTAGCAGTTGTTTGTTTTGTGAAATTTCAGCAATGCTTCCAGTTGGACGAGAATAAAATTCGCATTAGTCTCCATTACTTTCAGACGCTCGCCGATAAACTGAAAGCAGAGAGAGAATTGCGTGAAGCCAACAGTCTACAGAATTTGGAGGTTCGTCTGTCACGATGCTATTTATGTAACAATAAAAATGCATGCTTTAACTTTTGTACAGTACGCCGCGTAATTTTTACAGGAAGAGTTGGAAGTCACGAAAAGAGCCGTCATGGAAATGAGACAGTGTAGAACATCTCTTTAAAAAAGAGGGAGATCACGGACATCGACGACGACGGAGAATTGCCAGAAAAATGTGAAGAAGTAAGCGAAGTATATGATAATTCCGGACAATTTTAATTTTCGGGAATTATCATATACGCTTCCGTCTTCCTCGAAAACTCAATTTTAATTAAATTGTGTTTTCGAGGAAGACAGAAGCGTAATATATTTTCCTATAGTTTTTGTCGCTTTTTTTATTATTAATCTTTATATGACGCAAAACTTTGTTCTGTAGGTCGTTCATCAATATCGGCGGAAACGTAACTACATAAAACAACTGGAGAAGGACGTGACCGAAAAACAGAACAAACTAGATCAGCTGAAGGACAAAATAGAAGAAATTAAGAAGTGTTGGCTTCCTCATTTGGAAGATTTGATAAGTACAATAAACAATAACTTCAGTCATTTCGGGTCCATGATTCTATCCACAGATATGACTAATGGCTCAATCATCACGGTGATTATGTCGAAAAGTAACCATGTTTGTACCTAACTTTTGGTAATAAATTCATTTTGTTATTTACACTTGTCTTTGTTTTATAGACCATTAGAGGTTGGGAAAAAATCGCCCTCATAACTTGTATCTTCAGTCTGAAGATACAAGTTAATATTTAAAAAGTAAGCTACCTTAAATCTACGACTCCTCATTACTTTCTGTTAATTTCGTCTTCCCAATAAATTCCCAAACTTTTTGACCGATCTGGGCCAAATTTTGCGTAGTAAGTCTTTACAATTCTCCAAAAATATACGCTACTTTAAAACTCGGAACCTCACTTATTTTCCCGATTTCATCACCACCCAAATTGCCAAATCATTGGACTGATTTTCACCAAATTTTACATAGTTACTCTCTGCCACTTTGCGAGAAATATACGCTACCCTAAAACGATGACAACTCAACTCCTTCAGTGAATTTCCGGGCAACACTGGACATTCTTTGCTAGTTATTAAATAAAACTGAAACATCAGCAACTGACATTAAACAGATTTCACTTTACCAAAAAACTTATTTGCTTTTTATATAAACAACGCATAAATAATGCTTTTATAAACCAATCAGGAAAATTATCGCGGAGTAAAAGTACATTTGCACAACCTTAGCAAATGGCGCAAGGGTGGGTGCTAGCCCACTCTAAAATCAACAAAGCTTTGTATGGTCATTTAAATCTTAGCCACATATTTGTGTAACGTAATTGGAAAGTTCTTATTTAGCAGTTGTTTGTTTTGTAACCCCGCCCCCTGAAATAATTTATTCCAGTCTTAAGATACTATTATTCGGGAATTTCTTTAATTATGTACTAGTTGTTCGTTAACTATTTTTATGTTCTATCTAAACTTTTTCCGTTTATATAAATGTCTTACTGAAAGTCGTTCGCTAAATTTAAAAAATTAGTATGTTTGATGATAAAATTTGTATATAACACTTACCCCCAAACAATCTTCTGCTCAGGGCCAGATCATCGCATAGACAAATGTCTAGGGCCCGGTCAAACTGTTTATTTTGAAAAGATTTGTAAATAACATAGTTTACTTTTCTGTTGGACAACTGTATATAATAGCCAAATGAACAAAAATATATAGCTTTTTATATGGTTATTGTGAATTCTAAAATCTAAAAAAAATGTGTTATGTTTCTTCTTATTGAAAGTAATTCATTCTCAGTATTAAAATGTGTAAAAAATTATTTACGAAACTGATTGAGTGAATCAAAATTAAATTCTTTTGCTGTTTTATACATCGAACAAAATGCTTTGGATAATATTAATTATAATGAAATAATTCATAATTTTGCTGAATTAAAACAGAATTTGTAAATAAAGTTTATTCATATTTATATACCGTATATCTGCGCAGATAAGATGATAGTTATATCATCTTATCTGCGCATACTTATATCATCTTATATGACGACCCCCAAAATCCGGGGTCGTCATATAGGACAGATACAAAAAACAATTAGATTGAAAGTTATATAAATTAAAATCATTATTAAAAAACGGAAAAACCGTAACTGTTTACCTGTAGAGAGTAGGATATGTCCACAAAATAGAATAGCCCATACGACGTTTATGTGAATAGTCAAGGTATGAATGCCCGAATGTTTGCAACAATCGCAAGGTAGTGCTACCAGACAAATAAAATAAATAAATAAAATAAAATTTGAAATTCTTTCAAAAAATTACGAATAGGACATAATTCCCTATACGCTATACAGTGTTATTATCCAGATGATGATCGCTGATCTAAACTAAATTCATAGGCCGTTGTTGATAGTTTGGCGGTCGTCTTATAGGACAGATATATGCTAAAACTATAAAACTTCGACGAATATTTATACCTCGTTGTCTTACCTACGTAGATATACGGTACTTACTTTTTTAAAACTATTTTGGTTTTTATTTAAATTATCTTTTTCATTATTCAATTTACCTTTCATAAGTAAAATATTATATTATTTAAATATTAACCAAAAAGGTTTAATTAAACAATTAATATTTTAAGGTAATATTGTTGTATAACAACTTTTGTTAGAGATTTAATAAAATAAATTTCAATTTTTCTTTAAATTTATAAACAAAATGTTCAAACTTTTCTAGAAAAACTAAAATTTATTGTTACATACTGTATTAAGTATTTTTTATTAATAAAAATTTAAGATTTGTTTTAGTTTTTCACATTATTTAATTTTTGTTTCTTTGCAGACACACTAAGGTGACATATATCAACACTTGGCAACTTATTGACTATTTATTCAGTTGGGACGCCTTTTACATTACGCGTTTCGGGCATTGGCCCCTCTTCAGCCAACTAGACATAAAAAATAAAACATGAGAAAATTTGTACAAAAATACGCGAGTAGATAAACTGTTTTTTTAAAAAAATTTTTTAAAAAACATACCATAAAACACAAACCACTATTGTACAGATGTCGAACAGGATGGACAATTTCATATTTCATATACAACTTGGATAACAAACAAGGTCGACGATAATCATTGGAGAACAAACAGGGTCGTAGATAGCAGCTTGACTACTGGGCTTTTAAATATGGCTTTCTTATAATTTACACAAAATTCAAATAAATAGATTGACAATTACAACATATCTTAACAATATTTGTTTTTACCTGTGGTTGATATTCGCATATTACACCGAAATTCATTCGATATTAGTTGTCGCCCTTTCTTTCCGAACAAAATTTCACAAAGTCATCTTAGCAATATTATCCAAACTGCCAATTTACATAGAACATACTTAAAGCAATTACATTAATTGTACAAACTAGTAATTATTATTTGTATTACTTACAATTCATAAAGACATACGATTTAAGTTGTAGCTTTTGGTTAAACCGCTCC